ACACTTTCATGATCAATCATTATAAAACATATCATATACATTATTCTGAAATGGACCAATCTGCACAACGACTACTTTTACTGTCGCTACTTTAACTATATTTAGATGAGAATACTTTTATACTTTCACTTGAGGGACATTTTGAATGCAGTACTTTTACTGAAACAGAGTATTCCTACACTCTGGTACTTCTACTTTTACTCAATACAAGATCTGAGTACTTCTACTTTTACTCAAGAACAATATCTGAGTACTTCTACTTTTACTTAAGTACAATATCTGAGTATTTCTACTTTTACTCAAGAACAAGGTCTGAGTAGCCTACTTATACTTTTACTCAAGTACAATATCTGAGTACTTCTACTTTTACTCAAGTAGCCTAGATCTGAGTACTTCTACTTTTACTCAAGTACAAGATCTGAGTACTTCTACTTTTACTCAAGTACAAGATCTGAGTACTTCTACTTTTACTCAAGTACAATATCTGAGTACTTCTACTTTTACTCAAGTACAAGATCTGAGTACTTCTACTTTTACTCAAGTACAATATTTGAGTACTTCTACTTTTACATCAGTAGAGATAAAAACGATATTTTTTAATGGAGAAGAAGAATGTTGGGAGCCGTCGTTTGGGAGTCAATGCATCCCCTTAACAATTGTATGTTTTGAGCTGTACTGTACTGTACCTAATATACAAGCTGTTAATACACTTTTCAATCAATCAATCAATCAATGCAGCTTTACGACAGTTTCAACAACATATAGCCGTCTCCCTTTACGGCAGTGGGTGTAACTCGCTTAGCAGAACCAGCTATCTGTCACGAGGTAAGTCTTCTAAAATCACATAAAACAGCTGCTTGTTTATACTCTGCTTCTATTCACCAAACTACCCGACATTGTTTATCAATCCGGTGTGTGTTGTTGTCCTGTCTTTGAGTCACAAGAGCTGTTTTTCGTGAATAACAACAAACACATGAAGCTAATGCTAACACATGCTGCTAAACACACCTCGTCTGCAAGTCAACTAAAAACTGTGCATTTCAAAAGTTGCATATACAGTTTTCTGTAGGAGCAGATGCTGCCCGGTTTATACGTCTTGTTCGTCTAGAGAAATAAAGTAATTTAGAGCAGAACACTTTACTATTGTGTTGGCTCCTGCACTGTGAAAGACACAGGGGAAGCCCTTTTGGACAAAGTTAAATAAGATCATAATAATTAGACACTATTTGCTTTATTGATACCAATTCGGGACATGTAAACAAGGCAGTGCACAACATGTACACAAGGAAAGAGTACAAGATAAACAACTCAAACTACAAAGTAAAACTGACTTAACATGTCAAATATATAAAAGTTGAGTGAAATATATGTATCTGGAAACTATCTGTCGAATAAACCGCTAACCCTTCATAATGTTTGTTTGACAGATAGTTTCCATATATATATCTTTCACTTTCAACTTTTATATATTTTACTTGTTGAAGTTGAATATGTTTAACATTAGGTGTGCTAATAAATTAAATACATACGTACAAAGTACATTGTGAACACACTATTTAGATGGATAGCTTCTGTTTTTACGAGGTTAAAGTGGTGGAGTTCACTTCTCAAAGCCACGTAAGAAACGAAGGAGCTGTGAGGTCTCTTTTAGCCAGAGGTTAGTTGTTTAGCCCCGAGCCTGGTTTCAGGTCTCAGGCTCGAAAATGACATTCCCAGAACAAAGGACCATATCTTCTAAAAGGGGAACATTAATAATCTTTTTTCTCAAAGTAATGATAAACCTGTGAGTTGGATGTAGAACAGTCAGAATCAATATAGATGTTTTTTATTTTAAAGAAAATTCAGATTGAACATGGTAACAAACTGTAAATTATAGTGTCCGTCCAAAATGTATTTTGTACTTATAGTGAAAACTAACCTTGGATGATGGGTTAGTAGACTAAAAGCTTTAGGAATCCAAACTACAACATATCATAAGTACTCTGTATCAAGATTGATGCAAAACAAGTGACATTTGACCTTTTTAGAGAGATTTAGAAGAAAAAAACCCACTTCTGGGGCCATTTGGGTGGATTTTCCTTATCTCTGGCCCCCCTTGGTCAATTTTGATGATTGACATCTTTCTAACCGTCAGAGCCAATGGAATCGAGAGAAAGTCCCCCATACACACACAGCTTACCAAATAAGGAGTGATAGTGACGCGTAGAAAAACCGGAAGTTGCGCTAACCTCTGGTGGCTACCATTAGCAGCTAATTTTTCTTCTCCGATTTTTGCATACAAATGAAATTATGGATTATCAATAATTTGTTCAAAGTGACAGACACATTGGATTAACCTAGGGATTAACCTTCAGTCGCGATTTTTCTCGTTTTAATGCCATTGAACACGACTTTTGATCAGAATAACAGCTGAGCATATCTCCGTGTTTTGCTAGCTAAAGCTACATCGTGTGTTGTCTGTATTTGCTTCCTCTGTCACGAGTTCTGATCGCTCAGTGATGATCCTTATATTTCTATCATCTGTGGACTCTCAGGATGTTATCTAAGCTTGTTTGTGCAGATCCAATAAGTATATCGATCGGTATAGCTAGAGTTCTGTGCTAACGGCCTTAAGATTGTTTTGCCCGTGGCTAATTCAGAGGCTCAGCGTTAGTTTTGAGGTTTAAAAAAAGAAAATAAAAAAGATCAGTTAGCTGAGTTTCTTCCCGTTACATGGATATAAAACATTCATAGTTTATTAAATCTTAGGAAGCCCTCAGACACTGTTGCTAACAGATGTTGTGATTTCGGCCCCTTCGGCAGGTCCGTGGGGCTGAAGAGGTTTTAAACAGTTATTGGCAGGAATGACTTCTTGTATCTGTACAAAACGCTGCAGCTTTCAGTGCATATTTTTCACATGAAACATGAGAGCAATGACTATATGAATATGTTGTCTCGCTAAGTTAATTTCACTCGAGTTAAAACTTTAAACAGTTTTTAAGTCGATGTCTACTTCTACTGCAACTTAAGAGAGAAACATGGACCTGCAGCCACTTCACTTAAAATGCCACATGTTGATCTTATATAATACGATGCCTCTTACTGATCTACCCAGTAGTATACTGGCTCCACATTGAGACATTTAAATGCTAGTGTTCTTACTTTAGGGACATGTTGCAGATTTCTTTCTTAAGTGACATCTGGAATGCAGGACGTTACTGTAACAGAGTATTTTTAGCTGATGGTATCTCTGAGTACCATCAGCTGCTAAACCATGCCATACCATCTCTAAAAGGATCTTAGCTACTAACGGCTGTGTGTGTCCCGCTCAGGCGATGCGCTTTGGGTCTCTGGCTGCAGAAACACTGACCGCTGGACCCTTGAGAGCTTTAGCTGTGGTGAGTGTGTGTGTCATGATGCTTCTGTCTCTCACACACCATGCTTTGCTCTAATGTATTTGGGACACGTTGTTGATAAAGGTGGGCGATATGTCTTAAGATGCACATTAAAAAAAATTATTTTATATATATTTATTATTTTGTATGATATTAATGAATATCCGTGTTAATGTTGTTATACTGTATTACAACATTAACACGGGTACTCCTCTCTGAAGAGGATTCAACTCCTTTTTCAATCTATTGTCAATAGACAGATCGATGAATACTTTATTGATCCCAATTTGGGAAATTATTTCGTTACTAAAGCAGCAGTAATTGGACTTACTCCTCTTCCTCCTCCTCCTCTTCATCCTCCTCCTCTTCATCCTCCTCCTCTTCATCCTCCTCCTCGTCTTCCTCTTCCTCCTCCTCTTCCTCCTCCTCTTCCTCCTCCTCCCAGACGGTGTTCCTGAGTGTGTTGATGCTCCCGCTGCTGAGGACTGTTGGACTGAGAGTTTTCTCGATGGCCTCTGAGACGTACAGACCTGGCTCTCTCTCTGCTGCCTTCGTCACCTGTCCCAACGACACCGTGGCTAGAACCCTGGCCAGGTAACACCATCTGCAACACCTTAGAAGCTACGAAATAAATCCTGACTTTGTTCAGAAATACGACTTTTTTCTCTGAAATACGACTTTTTTCTCAGAAATCTGACTATTTTCTTTGAAATATGACTTTTTTTTCACTGCCTTTTTTCTTCGAATTTACTTTTTTCTAAAATAATGACTTTTTTCTCAGAAAAAAAATGTATTTTCAGAATTTTAACCCAAAAAAAAACGTATGTTCGGAAATCTGACTTTTTCAGAATTTTGAATTTTTTGAATTTAATTTTATCGGAAATCTGCATTTATTCAGATTTGTTACTTTAATATCAGAAATCTGCATATTTTCTTAGAATTTACTTTTTTCTACAAAAAATAATGACTTTTGTCTCAAATCTAATTTTCTTCATAATTTTGACTTTTTTCAGAAATCTGACTTTTCTTAGGATTTACTTTTTTTTTTTTTAAATGTATTTTTTCTCAGAATATACTTTTTTCCAGTAATCTGACTTTTTCAGAATTTTGGCTTCTTTTCTCAGAATTGATTTTTGTCTCGGAATAACAAAAAAATATCTTTTTTTAATCCTCTTCTGTACGAAGGTGTTCAGCTGCTGCTCAAATTGCACAGTTACCTGGTTGTAGTGAAAAATACAATGAACGAAAGGCATGTCATTTGAATGTTTGAAGTAAACTGTAGTCCTGGCTAAATCAGGAGATAAGAAAAGACAAATGAAACGACATTGATAATAATATCCTGATGAGGTGACATCTTGAAAGTGGGGTGTCCCTACATTTTGACATTATTGCTCTAGAAGAAAATGGACAGCCAGAAAAGTGTTACCAGTTCTCTTACTTGCATATTCATGTGTGACTGATTCCTTATTTCCTTCTGGCTCTCAGGGGTATTGTGGAAAACAAACTAGCTGCTTGCGTCAACATTGTTCCAGCAATCACATCTGTGTAAGTTTTGAGACGGCTGCTTGTCTGCGTCTTTAATATATAGAAGAGTAAGATATGCTTTATAAATCCCATAGGGGGAAATTCAGGTTTCACTCTGTTGTTATTGAGTTACGGTTCAAATACGCACATTTTTACCTCTGTATTTAAAATTCACCTAAAGTTGGGTAACATTTTTTTTTATTACGAAATAACTTTCAAAGAGACTTGGGTACATAATTCCCGACTGCAAAACCTTTTTTAATTTTTAATTTATTAATTTGATGTGTTTATTTATTTATTTTTTTTGGATAAATAATAGTTACTTGATTGATCACAAATTGTGAAATTATTTTATGTATTTGTATCTGTATGTTGTTGCTCCCATCCATCGCCTAAGGACTGAGTCTTTCTCAGGCAGCGTCTTTAATAAATGGTTTTACCCTTTTAAAATGAGTTATTGAGAAACACTAAATGGTTTTGACCCACAGGATGTATTAATGATATCTTCCATATTGTGACTCCTCCCTTCAGATATGAATGGCAGGGTAAGATTGAAGAGGACAGCGAAGTGATGCTGGTGAGTGATGACCGAGTATTGTAATATTTGATACTCGTTTTAATACTCGTACTTTACTTTCTCACGCCTTTAAAATCTGCTCTAGACAAAGATGCTTTTAAGGATCAGAAAGAATACATGATATTCATGTACTAAGATTTGTATATATAGAGATTCCTTCCCTTTGTAAAGAAAATATACAATAATAGAAGTATGTTTATGTTTTGGAGTGCATGCATGTGTTCCTACGGTTACACTACATGAACTAACACTAGAGAAACACATGCACTAAAGACATTAATGCCCCGGCCACATGAGGACGAAAACGGTCGTTTGCGTTACTGTTTAGTGTCATATAGACCGTTCGGCCACACGAGGACGACCGAATACGGCACTAAACGACTGCGGAAACGATAACGGGTCCCAAGGTGGATAGAACGGCATACGCAACGCTCTGGGGGGTCAAACGGCTCCGTGTGTACGCCCTATACGATCATTTTCTGATAATGATGAGGCAATAGCCCCGCCTCTCCCCACCTCTGCTGCTCACCCCCGCGTCAAAGTGAACTGCACACTGAATTCAGATTATTTATCTTTCTCTCGATATGGACATAAACGCGAGTGAAGTCTAATCTGACAGGACGGAGACACCTCTCAAACTACCTAGTTATAAATATGTTTATTTTTACTGTCGGCCGGGTCACTCATTACTGGATCAGCTGCTGCATGAGACAGACACTGGCGTTGTCCAAAGAGAGGGAGGAAAAAGAGAGGCTCCGTGTATTTTATTATTATTATAATATATAGAGTCGTTATTCATTTGTTTTAAAGCTCAATAAATAACAAAGAAGACCTTTGACCGGCACTTTTATAATTTTGTCGGAAGGTTTAAACTTTAATACACGTTGACTGGCGAAAAACTCTGCCCGGTTCCCTCGGCCCCCACCGCGGAGAATAAACAGAAGGGCAACCATGACAACCATGCTTCTTCGCTGCTTTTGTGGAGGAAGTTACAGCGCCACGTACAGGCTCGGCATATGTACTGCAGCTTCTCCAGCGGTTGGAGCTAAACGGAGCGGTCTCGTGTGGACAGACACTATCCGGTGAATATTGCGTGTGGACGGAAGCTTTTTTGCGATTGCGTTTGCGTTAATCCTATGCGTTTAGCCGTTTTCGTCCTCGTGTGGCCGGGGCATAACACTGCAATCCCTCTTGCTCTTTTTCTTGTTATCTGTGTCTTGGAAAACGTATAATAGAATTGAAGGCCCTGTCCACACGGAGACGATATCAGTTGTATCAGTTCTTCATCGTATAGGCGGTTCGTCCACACGAAGCCGAAACGGAGCCGTGGCTTCCGAGATCGAAACCGACAAACTTTTAAACCGGCTCCCAAAGTGAGTAAGTCTGGAGACGACACGCTTGTGGCTCCTTGTGTGCGCCCTATACGATCATTTCCTGAATCGATGACACCATAGCCCCGCCTCTGCCCACCCCACGTCATTGCTGATGCGTTTCGCCAACAACAACAATGGCGGATCACAGGGTTGCGTTCGTGCTCCAGACGCTACTGACCAGGATACAGATGTTAGTGCAAAATCTACTCCTCTACCACAACCATCAGCAACAAGTGGACATGCTCGGGGGTCTTCTTCGCTGCTTTTGGTATATTTTGTGGCGAAAGTACAGCACCACTTACAGGCCCGGCATATGTACTACAGCGTCTCCAGCGGTTTCGAGCGGTTTAGTTTGTACGGACACATTTATTGAGCCGATTCCGCGTGGACGGAAGACTTTTTTTTAAATCGACTTCGGTTTGAAATCGGTTTCGTCTCCGTGTAGCCGGGGCCTAGATGAGAGAAAAACTGTACCATTACAGTCATTGTATCAAGTTAGCAAAAAAAACCTCATGAGACGATACACATGTCCAAATAAACACAAATGTCACAAAAAACGATACATGTGATGAAATCTAATCAATGTCACTCTCTCCTGTTTAGATGATTAAAACAAGAAGCTCCAAGGTGCCAGCTCTAGCTGAATACGTCCGGTAAGTCTGGAGGAATTTCAGCCTTAGCAGACCATTTACATGCACTAAAACCTATAGAACACAGGAGAGGGAAAACCACAGAAAGCAGAATAGGGCCTCTTTTAAACATTATGTTGAAAACAGGGCTCCAAATATGTCTTTGCTCAATCATTTACGACACAGTTCTGCTATAAATATATAGTAAATCATATAGAAATGACCTTAAAATTTATATTTACCCATCCTGCGCTTTTTAATGATTAAATTGAAAGAAAATAGGGTATTAAAAATGCAATAATGAAGATAAAAGTAAACAAAAGTTTTCCGCACTTGTAAATGTTTTTGTTTCTTACACCTTACCTGGGGCCTATACTACGAAGCTGGTTCAACCTAACCTGGATATGTTTGAGTTAGCCGGTTGGCCTAATCCAAAACATACGCGCTCTCGCTAAACTGTACTACGACGCTGGTTATCAAGTGGATCGCTCAAGCCAGCCGTGTCCTATCTAGTTAGGCGTTCACATGAAAGGGGTGGTATCTGGAGCATTCGACTAATCACAAACATGGAGAAGCGTACTGACAGCGCAGCGTCATACTTCCTGAATGAAAAGTGAACTTTAATACTAGTCAAAAATGAAGAAGTTAAACTTTAAACATCCATGACTTAAACACTTGATCCAGGATCAAAGCCACAGAGCTGCACCTGCAAGGTGAATGCAGCTGGCAAAAGAAAAAGTGTTTGAATGCTTATTAACAGGTTTATGATATCACTGCCCGTCTAAAACACGATCTGACTTTCATTACATTTGACTCGAGTGTTTCGTCAACTTAATGTGTTGCTTAAAATAATACTTCTGCATACAGTCTGTGACACTGTGAGTGTTGCACGGCCAGATACGGCTCAGCTGACTCAGATAAGGAGATATATGATACATTATGAAGTGATATGCTGTGGACTGTACTTAATGTTACTCTGATCCGGTTACTTATGTTGTGGCAGATATTTCAGTAAGCTTTCTTAACGCTAATGTTATAATAGTCAGATTGCTCTGAAGATGGAGGTGATATTCTATTCATGTTCACGTTCACACAGTCGGTGATTTTTGCCGGCCGTCTTTCCTGCAACGGCAGCTTTTCTGTATTTCCTTTCTCCTGTAATATGACTTGATCGCTTTAAACTCCGCACACTGAGCTCTGATTGGTCAGCAGGCGGTGCTTTCACTGAGTTGATCTCTTAGCCTGCAACCTAACCTGCTCCCGACCAGGTTAGCCGCTAAGCATCAGTTACCATGGAGATCTAGCCGCTAAAAAGAGAACCAGCTTCGTAGGACCGGAAAGCCGGAGTTTTCCCTGAATTTAGCCGCTAAGAGAACATCCGGCTTCGTAGTATACCCCCCTGGTAATTCATATGTAGACACACACACACACATACATCCATCCATCCATCCATACATACACACACACACACACACACACACACACACACACACACACACACACACACACACACACACACACACACACACACCCTTCAAATATAATTTCTGAAATGAAGATATTGTTTTGAGTTTGGATCGATCTTTAGTATTAAATTCATTTTAAATATGCGCCGGCCTGTTACAGACCATTACCATGCACCAACACCTAGGGCTGTGCGATTATGGCAAAAATCATAATCACGATTATTTGGGTCAATAATTGATATCACGATTATTTTGACGATTATTCATTGACCATTTATTGAACTTTAAAACAAATAATATTTGACCAATAAACAAGATCAACAAATATGTTGGAGCGCACTTCCAAAACCATACTAAACATATATTATTAATATGATAAATAAAAATAAATTAGACCAAAATAAATTAAATCAAATATGTTGCAGTGCACTGTCACAACCTACTGAAAACTCCTTAACATATAGCCAACATTTTGGTAAAACATATTCATTATTCCACTCAGTTAAACGTTGAAGGCTGGCCAACCGTCATGGTCCAGAAGTAACAGGAAATAAATGTTGAACTACAATTTAAGACCAAATCAAAATGTTTAGGCCACCATGGCAAATGCTGGTAGGGCTGCTCATGTCATCTCTTAAAGATTGTTCGCAAGAAACACCAGCCTGTTTACATGGTCTGGTTTCAGAGATGAGCGCAGACAGGTGACGATATTGCCACCTGTACTGAAGACCCTCAGCCACGCCCCGACACATGGGGTGACGCCGGCCAATCACAAAGCTTTGATGCGTTCAAGTGCATTATTCTGGCACAGGAAGATTATGTTACAGGACATTAACGATAAAACAGAATATTGTTGTTCTATTTTTAGACACATCTCGCGATCGACTGGTTGGGCACCCCTGGGCTAGACCATAGGTCTGTTGTGGTAGCATAGTCAGCTGAAGCCACATCTCTCTCAACTTCCCCACGGCATTTGTCATATAGCGCAGGCAGCGCAGACCTGCTGAAATAATACCGAGACGGCATCGCGTAACGCTTGTCCAACGTGTTGACGAGTTGCTTAAAGCCCTGGTTGCTAACAGTGCTAACTGGGCACATATCTTTAGCGATGTGAAATGTAATGGCACCTGTAATATCTCTGTGTCTCTGCGAGCTCGTCGCGTAGGCCGTTGCTCTGTACAATGCGTCCTGAATCGATGACTGTGATGATGTGGTGGATGAAGTCGAGCGGGCATCTGCTTTTTGTTGTATTACTGCCCGGTCGTATTGCACTTTGTGGTTGTATTTCAGATGATTAAAGAGATTGGTTGTGTTAGCGTGTGGTGCCAACACAACCTGGTAACAAATCCTGCACTATACTTTGTTTTGCTCCACGTCGGACTCCTGAAAGCCAAAGTACTTCCAAATAGTGGAAATAGTTGTACCCTTCTTTTTAACGAGTTGCTGCTCTTGTTCTGACATCTTCGCTCGCGCTGAACTCTCACAACACATGTCACTCCCACGTGGCCGAGTGGGCTTTTAGGGAGGGGCGAAAGCGCACCCAGCAAAATAATCGTATTTTGTCAATTATGCTGTTTTCATAATCGTCGCAAACCATAATCGTAATCGCGATTAAAATACGATTAATTGCACAGCCCTACCAACACCTATAGAACACGCTCCAGGAGAGGAAAGGGAAACCCCACAAAGCAGAACAGGGCCTCTTTAATAACTGCTGTTCTTTATGTTGTGTGGTGAAACTGCTCTTTGTCCTCTCCAGCTCTAACCACCCCTACGAGGTGGCCGAGGTGATCAGCCTGCCCATCGAGCAGGGAAACCCGCCGTACCTGAAGTGGATCGAAGGAGTCGTTCCTGAATAACTGCGATTATCTTGACTGATATTTGAGGGAATGGTCGTTTTGCACCGTAATTCTGAGGTTCTGTGCCAAACAAACGTTCAAAGTCTGTGGGAGAAGATGTTTGTATGTGGGGATATCTCTGCAGCTCCACAAAACAGTTTATTTCTGACAAATATTTGCCCTTTTAAGAAGTATTGAGCTTCCTGCCATTTGAATATTGAGCATATTGTGAAGCACTCACTACTAAGAGTGGAAGAATGTTACATTTCAATTTCAAAAGTGTGTGTTCATGCCTGAAATATACAAAACAAGTCTGTCGTTGTAACGCTACCTGCAAAAAAGGTATAAGTCAAGACAAGGGGCCCGTTATGGGAATAAATAACACCTGGTGTGGTTAAACTGTTAAACGGCTAAAACCTGTCATTTCTGTTGCTAAAATACAAAAAACTTCACTCATAGGTTGTATTTCTATTATAAAAACGATGTAACAGGTGAAATACATTCCTTTTTGGTGCAAGACAAAGACAAATGGACATACATTCAAAATAAGTAACTCATTCTAACATGATTACAACTCTGAGACGGCTAAAACATGTCCTTTTGGACCCATCATTTAAGTCCTTTAAGTGCTTCATATGTTCAGTATGTATACCTGCTTCTACATGTGTACTCCCTCATTTAAAAGGGTGCTGGATAAACTGACAGTGTAATGTAAAAGTGCAAGACATACGTTCTGATTTCTACTGAGAAAGATCCATATTTCAATAAAGAGGACGATGTTTTTTATAATTTGGTTTTGAGCGTTTTTTGATACAACAGCATTCAGTGAAGTCGAGGTCCTAATGACACGGGTTGCACACATAATGCACATATTACTGTATACTTGTACACACTATGTGCAGTAATCCAGGGACACAATTACATACATCAGGTTTTATTGTTTACATTACACTATATTTAATAAAACGCTGAGTAGATTGCTGATAACAAATACAATACAACATGTAAATACAAAGGCAATCCTTTACAATACACTACATAACACATCTCCATTATTATACATTTGATAAACTATTTTCTTTACATTGACTACACACTCTGAAACACCTGAACATCAGCAGGAGAGGACTCTTTAAAGTAGAGACACTACATACTGATATACACCTGAACATCAGCAGGAGAGGACTCTTTAAAGTAGAGACACTACATACTGATATACATCTGAACATCAGCAGGAGAGGACTCTTTAAAGTAGAGACACTACATACTGATATACACCTGAACATCAGCAGGAGAGGACTCTTTAAAGTAGAGACACTACATACTGATATACACCTGAACATCAGCAGGAGAGGACTCTTTAAAGTAGAGACACTACATACTGATATACACCTGAACATCAGCAGGAGAGGACTCTTTAAAGTAGAGACACTACATACTGATATACCTGAACATCAGCAGGAGAGGACTCTTTAAAGTAGATACACTACATACTGATATACACCTGAACATCAGCAGGAGAGGACTCTTTAAAGTAGAGACACTACATACTGAAACACCTGAACATCAGCAGGAGAGGACTCTTTAAAGTAGAGACACTACATACTGATATACACCTGAACATCAGCAGGAGAGGACTCTTTAAAGTAGAGACACTACATACTGATATACACCTGAACATCAGCAGGAGAGGACTCTTTAAAGTAGAGACACTACATACTGATATACACCTGAACATCAGCAGGAGAGGACTCTTTAAAGTAGAGACACTACATACTGAAACACCTGAACATCAGCAGGAGAGGACTCTTTAAAGTAGAGGACACTACATACTGATATACACCTGAACATCAGCAGGAGAGGACTCTTTAAAGTAGAGACACTACATACTGATATACACCTGAACATCAGCAGGAGAGGACTCTTTAAAGTAGAGACACTACATACTGATATACACCTGAACATCAGCAGGAGAGGACTCTTTAAAGTAGAGACACTACATACTGATATACCTGAACATCAGCAGGAAAGGACTTTTTAAAGTAGAGACACTACATACTGATATACACCTGATCATCAGCAGGAGAGGACTCTTTAAAGTAGAGACACTACATACTGATATACACCTGAACATCATCAGGAGAGGACTCTTTAAAGTAGAGACACTACATACTGATATACACCTGAACATCAGCAGGAGAGGACTCTTTAAAGTAGAGACACTACATACTGATATACACCTGAACATCAGCAGGAGAGGACTCTTTAAAGTAGAGACACTACACACTGATATACACCTGAACATCAGCAGGAGAGGACTCTTTAAAGTAGAGACACTACATACTGATATACACCTGAACATCAGCAGGAGAGGACTCTTTAAAGTAGAGACACTACATACTGATATACACCTGAACATCAGCAGGAGAGGACTCTTTAAAGTAGAGAAACTACACACTGATATACACCTGAACATCAGCAGGAGAGGACTCTTTAAAGTAGAGACACTACATACTGATATACACCTGAACATCAGCAGGAGAGGACTCTTTAAAGTAGAGACACTACATACTGATATACACCTGAACATCAGCAGGAGAGGACTCTTTAAAGTAGAGACACTACATACTGATATACACCTGAACATCAGCAGGAGAGGACTCTTTAAAGTAGAGACACTACATACTGATATACACCTGAACATCAGCAGGAGAGGACTCTTTAAAGTAGAGACACTACATACTGATATACACCTGAACATCAGCAGGAGAGGACTCTTTAAAGTAGAGACACTACATACTGATATACACCTGAACATCAGCAGGAGAGGACTCTTTAAAGTAGAGACACTACATACTGATATACACCTGAACATCAGCAGGAGAGGACTCTTTAAAGTAGAGAAACTACACACTGATATACACCTGAACATCAGCAGGAGAGGACTCTTTAAAGTAGAGACACTACATACTGATATACACCTGAACATCAGCAGGAGAGGACTCTTTAAAGTAGAGACACTACATACTGATATACACCTGAACATCAGCAGGAGAGGACTCTTTAAAGTAGAGACACTACATACTGATATACACCTGAACATCAGCAGGAGAGGACTCTTTAAAGTAGAGACACTACATACTGATATACACCTGAACATCAGCAGGAGAGGACTCTTTAAAGTAGAGACACTACATACTGATATACACCTGAACATCAGCAGGAGAGGACTCTTTAAAGTAGAGACACTACATACTGATATACACCTGAACATCAGCAGGAGAGGACTCTTTAAAGTAGAGACACTATATACTGATATACACCTGAACATCAGCAGGAGAGGACTCTTTAAAGTAGATACACTACATACTGATATACACCTGAACATCAGCAGAAAATAGACTTTGACCTGCTTCCTTTGAAAACGTTATGTGTTGCACATTTCAAAAAGCAACTGAGGTGAGTTGTTGTCCTGAAATCTCAAAGAGAAAACATACTTTTAAGACATTCTTATATGTTTGCTCAGACATGCACACCATTGACGTTGTTCTACAAAAGCACAAAACACAGAGAGTGAAATATCTGAAGTGGGCGGTTTTAGTCCAAGTAAAAAGTAAAGTTTTATTTGGGACGGATACTTAGTTAGATAGTTGTGTCACCTCCCACTGTGATATGATTCATACGGTGCATTATCAGCCAGAACAACATGTTTCTGTCCTCTTTTCGCAAAACAGCCACAAACATAAATATATAAAATAATAAATAACAGATGTGGTCTCTTTTTCAGGGAACTAGTTTCACACCCAAGACTAAGAGTGAGAAATAAAGAAAAATGTGTTTGTTCGCTTAGAGTACTCATTAATACTTAAATAAATACAAATAAATAATACTTAAATCATGCCTACATTTCATTTTGTCGAACTGGGTTAACCCTAACAACAATTGCATTGATATCAGCACACTATTTCAGCCAAGTACAAAACACCTGACCCCAAGTTTAAGATGTGCATAATATTGTAAACTATTCGCTCCACCTGATTTAAAACTGAGCCTGTCATTTTCTAATATCTGAGAGATGCTTCTAATCGTCTGCACCAATATCATGTTAGAGACACATACAGGGGAACATCCAAGCTTTGTGTAACGCCTGGATGTTTTCAGTTTCACTCTCGAGATACATTGCATTACCGTTGTCCACATGACAGCAATACATACATTTATAACAATATAATAAGGTATAATACTAAGGTCTTTGTTGCAGTGGATCATTAAAGTGAACTCACATAAAGTGTCCTGCATGTTTGCTAAACTTCACTCCGTACTCAGGCGTTTCAGATATTGAAATGTGTTCTTCAGCTTGCCATCTGGTTTCAATCCAACATTTTTAACATCATGCCTGAGTAACGTTTGTCAAAAGGACATTATTTTTGGTAACAATAAATCCTTTTTGAGTAAAACACTGATTCTGTCCTGATTGCTGCACTACCACTTTTCTTTCACTGCTTCACAATATATTGTAAACGATGTACTCCCCATTATCTAACACTGAGACTGTAATCTGTAATCACCTTGCAGTCGATTCAGAAATGCTTCAAATACTTTGCGCTAAAATCACGTGACAAAGACAAATACACGGGGCAAAATCTGTGCTGACCTCCTTGCTGTAACACCTGGACGTTTGTTTTTAAAGTGACGAATAAACAGGGATTTGTTTTGTTTCACACTCACAAATAATACATCTTTGCAATTGAACATTAGCCGGCTTAATGCAAACGTGAGACAATAACAAAGATCCAACCCATATTTTAAGATGTGGATATTGTTAAATATTCCCTTGGCATGATCTAACACTGAACCTGTAAATGTTACATGTCTTTAAAACACTTTTAATATCATCCTGTTACAGAGAGCTGATCTCAAGCACTGAGTTATTGTCCGGGTTTTCTTCAGGTTGTGACTTCCTGTTCCTGATTCTACTGGCCATCGAGGACGCTACCTCCGCCGGGTCGAAGCCCAAATCTTTCTCTGCTTCATGTTTGACACTCGAGTTCTCCGCCTGAGTCTTTGCGTCTACGCTGTGGTTTCCATTTTGTGCCATTTGGCATATTTCACTCATTTGAACAGCCCCTCCTGTTTCATTGAGTTCCTCTTCTTGTTCTTTCCTTCGAACATTGACGACCCCTTCACTTTTTTGAACTTGCAGCACAATGCCGCCCCACTCCTCTGTCGGGCGATGCAGCTCCATGCCGTTGCTCTTCACCCGGCGAGACGCTCCGCACAGGGCCTTCCTGAAGCCCCTCTTGAAGTTGTCGGACAGAAAGCCGTACAGGATGGGGTTGGCGCAGCTGTTTGCGTACGACAGCACAACGACAAACACGTAAAGCCCCCTGAAGTCTCCAGGCAGGACCACCAGCAGGTTGATGATGTTCAGAGCGTAGAAGGGTAGCCAGCAGAGGACAAACACGGCCACCACCACCACCACCATCCGGGTGATTTTACGCTCAGACTTCCTGCGGCGAGAGGACGTGGCCTGCGCCCGCTTTCCAACGCTGCGCACCTGTGAAAGAAAAGAAGGTTTACCTCTCTTAAAGGTCACCTATTATTCAAAATCATGTCTCTTCTACATCAACATGTGTCCCCTCTTCTTCATGTCTCTTCTACATCAACATGTGTCCCCTCTTCTTCATGTCTCTTCTACATCACCATGTGTCCTCTCTTCTTCATGTCTCTTCTACATCAACATGTGTCCCCTCTTCTTCATGTCTCTTCTACATCAACATGTGTCCCCTCTTCTTCATGTCTCTTCTACATCAACATGTGTCCCCTCTTCTTCCATGTCTCTTCTACATCAACATGTGTCCCCTCTTCTTCATGTCTCTTCTACATCAACATGTGCCCCCTCTCCTTCATGTCTCTTCTACATCAACATGTGTCCCCTCTTCTTCATGTCTCTTCTACATCAACATGTGTCCCCTCTTCTTCATGTCTCTTCTACATCAACATGTGTCCCTTTTTCATGTCTCTCTCATCAACAGTGTCCCTCTTCTTATCATGTCCTTTCTACATCAACATGTGTCCCCCTCTTCTCCGTGTCTCTTCTACATCAACATGTGTCCCCTCTTCTTCATGTCTATTCTACATCAACATGTGTCCCCTCTTCTTCATGTCTCTTCTACATCAACATGTGTCCCCTCTTCTTCATGTCTCTTCTACATCAACATGTGTCCCCTCTTCTTCATGTCTCTTCTACATCAACATGTGTCCCCTCTTCTTCATGTCTCTTCTACATCAACATGTGTCCCCAGTGGCGTGCACAGACATTTATAGGGGCAGGTGCTCAAGAGAAAAAAAAGGGGCACCTTCTGAGTCGTTGTGGCGGTCGCGCCGAAATTGTGCGCTCCGAAATTGTGCGCAAAAATGTGCCGGATAATGGCGGATTTTGTTAAGTTTCTTTTTGGTTTTTGGTTACTTTATTTCGGGGTTAGGGTTATGTTATTTAATTCTTATTTTTGCCTGATTTTACTGATTTATTATCAACATTTTTATTATTTTAACATTTATTTGTATTATTCTAAATGAGGGGGGTCCAATCTGAAGCTAGGGGGGGATGAAACCCCCCCCCCCCCCCCGGGATTGACGCCCCTGGTGGAACCGCCGGCTGCCTTAGTAATGTGAGATTTATTAAAGGCACATCTTGTATGTCGTAATTGCATATATATTTATTTCAATAACCATATGCTGTCTGATGCAGATGCCTATCTAAAACAAATCAGATAGTAGGCTTACTAGCTTCTACACGCTAAAGCAACTGTAGTCAGGGATGCAAACTCATCAGGTATGAAAAAGGTGACAAGGATCCGAGCCCCCCGACCCCACGGAATATCGGCTTTAAAATGAGGAATAACAGAGGATTTTAGCAGTCAGAACAACTAAAGCAGCAGGTAATAATAACAGAAACGCCAAAGAGTTACATCTAATAGAAATATATAAAAGCATTTATTTTAATTGTGTAGCAGTCAGTTTATAATTTTGGCTGTTGAGCATTTTGAAAATGTATTTTCATGCCTCTTAGTATTTTTATAATACTTTTCTACTTTCACTTGAGGAACATTTTGAATGCAGGATTTTTACTGTAACAGAGTATTCCTACACTCTGGTACTTCTACTTTTACTCAAGTACAAGATCTGAGTACTTCTACTTTTATTAAGTACAAGATCTGAGTACTTCTACTTTTACTCAAGTACAAGATCTGAGTACTTCTACTTTTACTCAAGAACAAGATCTGAGTACTTCTACTTTTACTCAAGTACAAGATCTGAGTACTTCTACTTTTACTCAAGTACAAGATCTGAGTACTTCTACTTTTACTCAAGTACAAGATCTGAGTACTTCTACTTTTACTCAAGTACAAGATCTGAGTACTTCTACTTTTACTCAAGTACAAGATCTGAGTACTTCTACTTTTACTCAAGTACAAGATCTGAGTACTTCTACTTTTACTCAAGTACAAGATCTGAGTACTTCTACTTTTACTCAAGTACAAGATCTGAGTACTTCTACTTTTACTCAAGTACAAGATCTGAGTACTTCTACTACTAACAGCTGTTCACCAGCGGTGCAGTCTGTGCCACAGTGACTCCGCACAGTTAACGAACGCACCGTAGCTAATGTAGCTGTCCCTCATCCCGGAGCAGCAGAGTTCAGCCGGCCCGACAGGCAAGAAGACTCGAGCACACAGCTCGTGCTTCATTTATTAAAAAATAACACCATGCGCACATGTAACAGCTCGCGACCGCAGATTATTTCGGCGATTAGATAAAATGTAAATTATATTTGACGCAACTTTAGTTACATTTCCATGACTTTTCCAAAACTTTGGGAAAAATATTGTTTTCCATAACTTTTCCAGGGCCTGGAATTTGCATTTTGAATTTCCATGACTTTTCCAGGTTTTCAATGACCGTACGGTACGAACCCTGTATAGTTTAGTTTGGCATCTGATTTAGGGGATTAAACAATACACTCGTTGTATTTGTTACCTGGTGGTTACTTACTTGGTCGTCACTAGGGCACTTTTAATCGTGTTGCTGCGTGCTGCTGCACCACACACCCGCCGTGGCCTGTCTGACTGAGTGACTGACTGTGAGCTCTGCGCGCTGCGCGTTCACGTTGAGAGCAGGGAAGGGAGGGGCTGCAGCCAGAGCACGTATGGGAGTGCTGCGGGGCACGCGTGGGGATGTCTGACAAAATTACAACGCGCATTTGGGGCATTGTTGTATATATTAGAAGCTTTTAATCCAGAATTGATCGATGTTACCATGAGCCACATACAGTACACTGTAATTTTTTTTTTTTAAACTGTAAAAAACGAACTTTCAAAAGGGCACATTGCTGTCCAGAGGGCAAAACGGGCAGGTGCTCAAGCACTACCTAGAGTCTATGTGTGCACGTCTCTGTGTGTCCCCTCTTCTTCATGTCTCTTCTACATCAACATGTGTCCCCTCTTCTTCATGTCTCTTCTACATCAACATGTGTCCCCTCTTCTCCATGTCTCTTCTACATCAACATGTGTCCCCTCTTCTCCATGTCTCTTCTACATCAACATGTGTCCCCCTCTTCTTCATGTCTCTTCTACATTCAACATGTGTCCCCTCTTCTTCATGTCTCTTCTACATCAACATGTGTCCCCTCTTCTTCATGTCTCTTCTACATCAACATGTGTCCCCTCTTCTTCATGTCTCTTCTACATCAACATGTGTCCCCTCTCATGTCTCTTCTCAATGTCCCTCTTCTTCATGTCTCTTCTACATCAACATGTGTCCCCTCTTCTTCATGTCTCTTCTACATCAACATGTGTCCCCTCTTCTCCATGTCTCTTCTACATCAACATGTGTCCCCTCTTCTTCATGTCTCTTCTACATCAACATGTGTCCCCTCTTCTTCATGTCTCTTCTTCATCAACATGTGTCCCCTCTTCTTCATGTCTCTTCTACATCAACATGTGTCCCCTCTTCTTCATGTCTCTTCTACATCAACATGTGTCCCCTCTTCTTCATGTCTCTTCTACATCAACATGTGTCCCCTCTTCTTCATGTCTCTTCTACATCAACATGTGTCCCCTCTTCTTCACGTCTCTTCTACATCAACATGTGTCCCCTCTTCTTCATGTCTCTTCTACATCAACATGTGTCCCCTCTTCTTCATGTCTATTCTACATCAAACATGTGTCCCCTCTTCTTCATGTCTCTTCTACATCAACATGTGTCCCCTCTTCTTCATGTCTCTTCTTCATCAACATGTGTCCCCTCTTCTTCATGTCTCTTCTACATCAACATGTGTCCCCTCTTCTTCATGTCTCTTCTACATCACCATGTGTCCCCTCTTCTTCATGTCTCTTCTACATCAACATGTGTCCCCTCTTCTCCATGTCTCTTCGACATCAACATGTGTCCCCTCTTCTCCATGTCTCTTCGACATCAACATGTGTCCCCTCTTCTTCATGTCTCTTCTACATCAACATGTGTCCCCTCTTCTCCATGTCTCTTCGACATCAACATGTGTCCCCTCTTCTCCATGTCTCTTCGACATCAACATGTGTCCCCTCTTCTTCATGTCTCTTCGACATCAACATGTGTCCCCTCTTCTTCATGTCTCTTCTACATCAACATGTGTCCCCTCTTCTTCATGTCTCTTCTACATCAACATGTGTCCCCTCTTCTTCATGTCTCTTCTACATCAACATGTGTCCCCTCTTCTTCATGTCTCTTCTACATCAACATGTGTCCCCCTCTTCTTCATGTCTCTTCTACATCAACATGTGTCCCCTCTTCTTCATGTCTCTTCTACATCAACATGTGTCCCCTCTTCTTCATGTCTCTTCTACATCAACATGTGTCCCCTCTTCTTCATGTCTCTTCTTCATCAACATGTGTCCCCTCTGTGGAAAGAGACTCTGAAAGTTTCAGGAACAAAGATTCTCTCTCTTTTTGATCCATTTCTATAAAAACATGTCTGAAAATGAGCTGATCAGATTTTGGCCACTTTATGATGTCATAACGTTGTGTTGTCTTGTGTAACCATTAGCCAATCAGCAACCAAGGTAACCCCCCCCCCCCCCCCCCCCTTATCACCTGAATCTCCTCCTAGAGCACGATTGAGTTCTTTGTAACCAAATCTCTCTCAGAGGGGCGTGGGGAGGGGCTCCTTATTTTCATCTAAAGTAACAGACAGAGAATCAGCACTTTGGAAACAGGGCTGAAACAGAGAGGATTATGGGTAATGCTGCAATGATCTGTTTGGTGTTTCAGCCAATCAGAGACAGGCTCTGGATATATATAATATAATATAGTATAATAGGGACTTTTAATATATTTTGAATACTTTTGTAGTTTCACTTAAAGTGGACCTATCATGCTATATTTGAATAATATATTGTAGGGCCATACCTCTATAAAACATGTCTGTGAAGTTGTTTTTTCAAAATACCAAACAGATCATGCATTTTAGCCATGCCTTATTTCGCTCTATTTGCTCTATTCCAGCCTTGTCTTCACAAGGGCTGATTCTGTGGCAAATGAGCTGCAGGTGACCACGCCCCCCTGCAACGGAGGGGGGCGTGGCACGAGCGTCATGTTACCATGTTGTTACCATGCTGTTACCATGCTGTTACCATGCAGTTACCATGCTGTTGCCATGCAGTTACCATGTTGTTACCATGCTGTTACCATGCTGTTACCATGCTGTTACCATGCTGTTACCATGCAGTTACCATGCTGTTACCATGCTGTTACCATGCTGTTACCATGCTGTTACCATGCTGTTACCATGCTGTTACCATGCCACGGCAACCCCCATTCCCCTGATAGGTGGAGAGTTGCCCATATAGGCGGAGCTCCTTGTTTCTGACGTCAGAGATATTTCAAATCTGTATCAGTCTGTATCAGATCCGTTGCAGCCCCGTTTTTAGAGATTTGGGTATGGAGGAAAAGAGAGAGGGTTGTGTTTTCGGACACACTGGGGACACACATTCATGTATAAAAGACGTACAAAAGTGCATTTTGCATGATGGGTCCCCTTTAAGTAAGAATTATAATGGACATTACTTGTACTTCTTCCACCTCTGGCTTTATGCATCTTTACAGCCGTTATAATCGAATACATATTTAAAATAAGATAAGAAGTACTTTATTGATCCCAAGTTGGGAAATGTTTGTGTTGCAGCATAAAAAGTCCCCTCACCAAAGTCAAAACAAGCTTTTTCTCAATATGTATTTTTTCCATTTCAACTAAATTATGCCCATCTGAATATTCTGCCGTCAAACCAAATACAAAGGTTGAAAGTAACTTACAAACGCTTTTTTCCGAAGATATTTTCTTTTAAACAGATTTCTCAATGTTTATCCCCATGAACAATGTGCACGGTACAATTTGTCATTGCATTTACATTTTTCAAAACTTTAACCGTCAAACTTCAAAATGTTTATATATTTTGTTTTAGTAAATTGATCCGTCACTGTATATTCGCTTTCTTTATATGTTATACTTTGATCAATAAAGTAAATATAATCATTAATCTTAATGAATAAATACTTTGTGTCACATCATATTTGTGATAAAGCACTGAATAGGTTTTACTTCAAATAACCATTGACTTTATATTTAGTTTTGACCAAAATATGATCATATTTTGCTTGGAAAAAGTAATTGATCATGTAACAAGTGTCTTTGTTGACCAATGCCTTAACCCATGTAAAGCACTTTGGGATGTTGTTTTGAAAAGTGCTGGATAAATACAATTATTATAAGTCCGAAAAACGAATTGGTCAACACATTGACTGAGAGCGCCAGTAATAGCTTTTTCACGTCCACACTTCAGGGGGAATGTGCCTTTTGAAATTGATTGGATTGATAATGAAATCCGGAGCTTAACCCCTAGATTCCACCGGGTCCGTCTGCGGCAGGTTACGGGCACGTTACGGCTGCGCCGCGGTGCTCACGGCGATCGCGGCGATCGCGGCCACTCTATAGTCAATGAGTGCTATTCCACCACACGCGGCGCGTTACGGCTCAGAAGCGTCCCAGAAGCGGCTCGGCGCAGGGCTCCTCTAAAATTAGGATGAATCCTATTTTTGTCGCCGCGCAGCCGTAACTAAGGCAGGAAGTGGAACGGTCAGAGCATCCGGGCCAGGCCCATCCCCCACATATACTAATTTTGCAGACCCCCCCTCCTTCATCACAACACCTTCACTACGACACGCACAATGGACGAGGAGCTTTTCATTCTGGAGGTGGAAAAACACACTATTTTATATGATGTAACCAATGCTTTTTACAAGGACAACAACAGAAAGGACAAGGCCTGGTTTTTAATCGCTGGAGTATATAGCACATATATATATATATACACACACAAACTAATTGTGCAGACCCTATCCCTCCGTAGTCTTTCAAGTAGGAGAAATGCCAGCGTTCTCCTCCGGTTTACAGGCACTGTGTAAATTATATATAAATAGAATAATTATGATGATGAATGCATTTTTTTACCACTAAAATACAGCAACACATCTTTGATTCATGTCGTTTATAACTGGGATATTATTATTATGAACTTTGTCTGTACAAAGTAGTCTGTCCAGGAAATATGCCCAAATCAACAAAAACTGCGAGCCGGCAGGCAAGACGCTCCGCTTCTGAAATGCTTCTGAAACGCGCCCGGTAGGGTTTGACGCCGGAGGAGGCCGGACCAAAACCGCGGCGCAGACGGACCCGGTGGAATCGAGGGGTAAGGTGATCACATATACAGTATGATGTGACACACTCGCTTTATGTCACATCATATGTGATAATCGACTGAATATACTGTATGAATATGAATGAATAAATGAGTACAAATCCAGTTACAAAGCAAAACAATTGTGCACATACGCTAAAGATTACGATGTTGTGAAAAACTTGTGATGAAATCCGGAGCATAAGGTGAATCATAAAGGATATATCAAGTTTCTATGGTTTGTAACACTGAGCATAACCAAGTAAGAAAACTGAAGTTTGGGGAATACAGAATCGAGGTAATTCATTTCACACATCTGTGTTTGTGTACACTCCTAACCTTGATGACGATCAACAAGTAGCACAGGCAGATGACCAGCAGGGGGCAGAAGAAGCCCACGGTGCAGGTGTAAACTATAAAAGACGTCTTCCAAACCTCAGCCGGTTCAGGCCATACGATGCTGCAGTTACCGTCGTCCTTCAGCACGTCTGCAAACACCACCACGGGCAGCACCACAACAAACGACCCAGCCCAAACCGTGGCACTGACGGCCTTCGCTACACGGGGGGCGCCGCCACCAATAAGACCGGATTGGGTGCACTACGGCCAGGTAGCGATCCACTGACATCACCGTTAGGCAGAAGATGCTGGTGAACTGGTTGATGGCGTCCACTGTCATGACCACGCGGCACATTAGCGAGCCGAAGGGCCAAGAGAGAAGAGCGTTCTGCACTGCCAGGAAGGGCAAACCTAGCATGAAGAGTTCGTCCGCGATCGCCAAGTTCAGGATGTAGATGTTGGTGACTGACTCGTTCTTGGTGTAGTTGACGACAACGTGGATGACGAGAGTGTTGCCCACGAGGCCAACAACACACACCATACCGTAGATGAGAGGGATGAAGATTCCCGCCAAGCCAGGGAAGGAACTAGGCTCCGGTTTGGTGTCATTCTGGTAGCTGCTGTTAAAGAGGAAAGAGCCGTCGCTCGGGGTGAAGCCGAGGAAAGGTTCAGAAGGAGTGGAGAGGAGCAGGAAATGGGAGTTGGTGATCCAGGTAGCTGTGGAGGCTTCCTGAGGCAGCTGGGAGGCCTGGATGAGCTCCATGGAGGCTTTAATTAGGCAACGACAACAGATCAGATCCCATCAGCGACGGGTCAACAGCTCTACAAGGAAAACAAAGTTAGTAATCATCAACTGGTGTGTTGCATTACATGTGTACGGATGAAAAAAGGGTGAAGAGCTTAGCTTTGACCTAATTTCTAATTGCTGTTGACCATTGCTTGATCTGAAAGATTGACGTAAGGTTACAGCGTTAATATCTTGCTAAACAACGTGCAGAAAAAAACCTGTTAGATAATAAGTGAGATAGCAAATTGCAAAGAATCCAACATAAACATAAATAGAGCATATTGTGTCTAGAAAACAGTGTTGACAAAATAGATAGACTTCACTGCCATATAACAATGTATAGTGTTATATGGCTGTGACAGTGCGAGTGATAACGTTTCGTCCAATCCCTGACCAGTGAAGCTAGAATACTAAACCACTAATCAACCTAACCACTCTCCTTCCGTCACAACAAGCCTTCACCAGAACAAAAACACAACCTATTCACTTCTATTAGTACGAGACTTGTTTATGAAGCCATCCCGGGTTCTTAATAACTACCGTGCCGCACGCAGGCACACCCCCCCGCCTCTCAGTGATGGTTGATAATTGGTATTGCGTTAGGAACAAAATGTACTGAGCGATGGAGTGAAATAACAGAAGCCTGTCCTCCACAACCTGGACTTAAGTGCATTAATGAGGAGCTGAGGATAGCAGGCAGGAGGAATCATTTACAGCACTGCGGGATACAGGCAGAAATTATGAGGTATAACATTTCAGAAGAGAGACTACATCAACAAGAGAGAAGGATGTCAAATGTGTTCAAAAAAACAACCAGTGTGATTTTCTTTTTGCCATCTCTATAGTACTCTTAGATATTGAAACAAAAATAAATGGGAAAGAAAATATATTGGACTGTCTTGGTTTTTATATAAACTAAAGGCCAGGAGAAGAATGTATTCCACCACCTCTTGGTATTTCTATCGGTTTAAAAAAACATTAAAATCCTCCTACATTCTCAGTGAGATTAATATATTCTTTCAAGGCTGAATGTAGGAGCCAGTAGACGGAGGGCAGGCCAACAATTACTAAAGGTAAACACCAGAGGACAGTATATTCTCTGTGGCATCAAGAGGACCTGAAATAAACATACAATATAGGCACACAATTGTGTTTTTGTCAATGTTTTGAGTCAATTTGATGCATTTACTAAGCTCTAAAAAAATCCAACTCCTACTAGATATGGAAATATATATAACACATATATTCACCCATAATTAAGTATTTATATAGAAAACTATGTGTTCGAACAACATTTCCCTCACAAAGGTCCCTCGGTGATAATAAAGCACATTAAACCTGATTTAAAAAAAGCTCAAAATGCAAAGCAAATTGCACAATGTTAATCGTTGAGGATAGAGAAACAAATATACCTCAAATCATTTAAATCATTGGACCTTGAAGATCCAGATGGACATTTAACTATTTTTCCAAATCCTTCAAGACAAATATTGGTGCAAAAATATATATGTTCATATATGTTTCACACACACACACACACACACACACCACACACACACACACACACACACACACACACACACATACACACACACACACACACACACACACACACACACACACACACACACACACACACCACACACACACACGTTTATGTGTATACAGGTAGTACTATAACTAGTTTTAAAAGTTGGAGAGTGTTGAACCTGGACAAAATGTCATAAATGAGGACCAAGTTCCAAAACCGACCACTAGATGGTGTTGTAGCAGATGAGCAAAATCCAACACACCTACACACTTCATCCTATACATAAATGTGTTATTTTAAGATATAGAAGATGTTGGTTTGCGACATGGTGGGGAACACTGTAGTTACATTTTTTAGAGCGTCCTGATGAAAATGGTGTGTTATCAAAGGAATGGTCCTTATTTGTCATTAAAACAAGTACACACACACACACACACACACACACACACACACACACACACACACACACACACACACACACACACACACACACACACACACACACACACACATGTGCTCCTGATTTCCAGGATGTGCAGCACAACACCTGCCAGTCTAATCTCCCACTCTCACAATGGAGCAGACAGACAATCCGTCTTCCCAGAATGCATCTCTGCTTTTGTCTTCCGCTCTATTGTCCGCTGGGAGAAAAACTTCCTTGGAGAGGTTGCCATGGCGACGTAAGGTCATGCAATGGCCCAAAAGGCCGTGAACGGAGCAAATCAACGAGACGAACATCAGAGTCATAAAGAAGGCTGATTGAAGGGGAAGTGTGCTTTACATTGTGTGTGTGTGTGTGTGTGTGTGTGTGTGTGTGTGTGTGTGTGTGGGTGTGTGTGTGTGTGTGTGTGTGTGTGTGTGTGTGTGTGTGTGTGTGTGTGTGTGTGTGTGTGTGTGTGTGTACTGTGTATCAGCTGGGTGCAGATACTACGTTTAGAGACATCAGTGAAACTCCACAAAATATAAAAAGTCAGATGTCATTTTTTCCAATAAATCTGTTGCCGTTATTGAATATTTAGTCATTTGTCCCAAAACTGAAATTCTGAATTTCACAAATCTACATAAAATAAAGTTAAGACAGATCTTTAATCTATCTCTACATTGTCATTTATGTTTGTTGATCTGTTTCAACTGTGTTTTAATGGTATTCGGCCATTTAAATAAAATTGGATTTGATTTGATTTAAATTATTGATCCAAGTCGAGAAACAAAGGCAAAGCTATCAAACAACTTTATTAATGCTAAACCTTTAGTTATCTCAATGGCTTCAGGGATTCTAAATTACACACACGCTGCCTTTAAGATAAGATCTGATCCTTTTAGGTTTTTACTAACATTATAACCCTGCTAGTAATCTCCAATTGTATTATAAATGTATCAGTAACCAGATGTCTTTATGTACCTGTAAGGGAATACAGGTACCTTTTAATATACCTCATTCAATAATGTAATCCCTTACTTCCCAAACCGAATGTACACTAAGCTCCAGAAATAACACATCTGCATTTGATAATCTGTCGAGCATTCGAACGAGCTAGGTCACATCTCTGCCACCTGACAAACCTCTCACACAGATTAACGAAGCAAAAACATTTCACAAACACATCTTTCACAGCCAGCCACTCAGGGTTTGAATACATTCAATGGCCGTATTTAATAAAGCGGTCAGTAATGTTACGCTGTAGTATTGTTGACGCGTGTGAGAGGCCTCTTCATGATTACACGGTGGATACCTCTATTGACGCCTGTAATTACCTCATAGTGAGTCAAGCTAAGTGCAAACAACCCGTGGATGTGACAACAAGGTGATCATTAACACAAATATCTAGCCGTCAAAATATCCAAAGCATTGCTATTTCCTTCGATAAGTGCATTCAAGGACATTTGATCCTTGAGAGCGTTCTTTTTACACTGAGATTAATTTGCATACCCTTGCCCCCTAATTGTTCATCGCTGAAATATGCCATTAATACCTTGCTTTTACATTTAAATAAAACCTTTACATACGAGACGAACACACGTAATGTAAAAGCATATCTGAATAAAGGACGTACTTTGTCCCTGATTTTGTGTAAAAAAAAAAAAGATGGACTTTTATTAATCCTCGTGGGGAAATAGTTTCTCTGCATTCGACCCATCCTAGTGTCAGGAGCAGTGTGCTGCCATTTTGAACGGCGCCCGGGGAGCAGTGTGGGGAACGGTGCTTTACTCAGGGACACCTCGGTAGCACTTGGTGTTGCCGGGACTTGAACTGGTGACCTTCCAGTTGCCAAGCCAAGTCCCTATCGACTTCGCCACCACCGCCCCAAACACACCGTAACACAACATAACAGTTTTTCTAGTTACGATCAAAATGATAGCTTACAAGGTAGTAGTATTTGAGAGTAGTACCTGTATTGTATAAGTAAACGTAGCTAGGTCTAAGTATCCAACATATACTGTACAAATAAGACATTGTGTGAATCTTACAGTTGTAAAATCACAGGTGCCAGAAAAAGCAATGAATGTTCTCATTGAGCGTTTTAGCATCGTTTAGCTCATGGTATTGTTTTGATTTGGTTCACTTCCACTGGACTGGCTCGGAGCTTCCAGAACATTCAGTCATTTTAGAGCGTTTTACTGTGTTTCAGCTTATTATGCCCTTTTTGGTCTTTATAAATGTTCTGTTCTGGTTCCCATTTAGCTTCACTGCATTCCAAGGTTCTTTAGTCATACGACCATACAGTAGCTACAGAGCAACACAATATTACAGAACAACAGAAAAAGATAGTGCAAGTAAATATTAAAAGTAAATGCAAAAAGAAAGGAATAGTTTTAAAAAGTGACTTAGTGAAATAAGAGTCTATATGCAAGCTATTGGAATGGTATTACATTACATGACGTGTTATTTGTTAGACGCTTTTATCCAAAGCGACTCACATACTCATCACTGTGAACAATCCCCACTGGAGCACTTTGGGGTGAAGCGTCTCAGGGACACAACGACATGCTGACTGCAGCGGGGTTTGAACCTGTGCTCCCCTGATCCCAACACCAACGCACTAGGCCACTGCGCCACACCCCTCCATATATAGGTAAATAGATGATTACTAAGTAGCAGAATGTTATGGATGTTATGGATCTGTGACATTTACAGATTGTTGCCATGCCTGAAAATGGCCCAACAAATGTATCAATGTGGAATATGGTACAACTGTCTTTGAAGGCTTACAGAGTGTGGTATGCTGGCTGTTTGGGTTATGGTGGAGAGAACCATCGCCTGCCCTCTCTGAGCCCTCTGCAGCTCCCGATGCCTCTCTCCTGCCTCCTGGTAGGAGAGAACCATCGTCTGCCCTCTCTGAGCCCTCTCCAGCTCCCGATGCCTCTCTCCTGCCTCCTGGTAGGAGAGAGGCATCGTCTGCCCTCTCTGAGCCCTCTCCAGCTCCCGATGCCTCTCTCCTGCCTCCTGGTAGGAGAGAACCATCGTCTGCCCTCTCTGAGCCCTCTCCAGCTCCCGATGCCTCT